TGAAGGAAGGAAGGAATGAGCAAATTGACGAATAAGAAGAAAGAAAAAAATTAGAATTAAAGAACATTTAAAATGAAAGAAATGATGGATTAAAGGAATTCTCTAAAAGAAACAATCTTGATCAAACAGCAAATGAAGAAAGCAAAAAAAAAAAAAGAACGAATGAAAGGGGAATGATCAAATTGCAGAAAGGATTAAATAAGAAAAGGAAGAAAGTGACCAAGAGAAAAAAATCCGTCATTAAGAAAAAAGAAAAGAAATTCAAAAAAAAGCCATAAAATCGAAAGAAAAGAAATAAAGGAGCCAAGGGACCAAAACATAAAATAAAGGAAGAACAAACTTAGGATAGATTTTATGGAATTTCAGGATCTATATGCAAGTTCAGAAATGAAATCAATTACGAAGTCGTTCTTGAGGAAAATAGATGCAATCATTTTTTTTTGTTCAATGTGGAGAGTGAAGATCCGTTTTCTCCCCCTAAAATAGAAACTTATTTACCGACAACAAAGCGGATAATTTTCCCACTATTTTTCCCATCCCATCTCGATCGAACGTACCGCCATGTTTTACGGGATTGTTTCCCGCCTTTAATATCTAAGAACGGCGAACGCTTAGGAGTGTTTTAGTCGGAGAGATTAGTTTGAGAGGCTTATCTGCATGTTTACGCGAAGAATTGGATGAGGAAGAGGCGGAAGTAAGCTAGGAAAAGAGATTGTCTCGCATCTTCCAGAAATGGAACCATACAAGGAATTAATCAAACTAAATATTCGCTGTTATTATGAGGAATACGTTTGTTATATTTAAAAAGCCGGATATATTGCCTGAAGCTCTGATTAAAATAAGCTTTTAAAATTTTTATTTCACTTTCTTGCTGTTATTGTAGCCTCTTCTTCTCTCTTTCTGTGTAAATATGCTTCTTCATTATGGAGTGATGATCATGACTCTTCGCATTTTCTTTTTTTTTTTCCTGCTTTCAACAAGTTTTCTTCTTCCAGAACATCTCTCTTTGGTGAGTCGAAAGAAATTGTTAAATTTTGTCATCAGATGTTGCATGTCTGGATTATCATTTGCTCCTGTCTTTATAGGTTTTGATTTGTAGGGTTATATATTAATACCATCTATATTCATTATTTACATTATTCGGACTATTGTCCTCATCTTTGTCACCATATTTATCACAACGTTTCGGCCGCTGTACGCTCCGGCCTTCTTCATGTGGTCGGAATGTCGAACTGAACCCTTTATTTAGTAGACTGTTCTAGTTCCACGTGCCATGTTTGATGGATGTCAGTTATCAGTTATCTCCTGTTAATTTCCCTCTGAAAGTTCTCCACTGCCTTAACTCACACTCTTTGGGTCCTGTCACTGGATCTAACCAACACCTTTATCCACTGTGTCATGTGTCCTTGAGGACATCTGGGTATGAATTTCTGGCTATTATAAACCTAATGTCTTCAGCAACCATTTTTACCAGTGCTCATATTGCAATTATTGCTGTTATCATTTCATGTTTTTACCAGAGCTCATATTGCAACTTTATTATTGCTTTTCTCTGGCACTCCTTATTACTGGTTCCCATATTGTATTCATTTCTATGCTTGGTCGGCTCAGGAGATTTTTGTGGCCTAGCATATGTGCTGATTCTTAAGTTTACAAATTTTCCAATGGTGTTCCTTGTCAATGATCTCAACTTGATCCCACAGAGGGCGGTGATCTCCTTCTCTCTCCATATGTGGTCAGCCACGCCTGATTTTTCTACTTTTTTTCGTTTTTACAGCTTTCTGGTGTTCTTGAAGCCTTACCTTAAGGACACATGTCACATATGGAAAAGCAGTTGGTTAGATCCAGTGAAAGGACCTTTAAATGTGAGTTCAATATCCGGTTTGTCATTGAATTATTTGCAAAGGAAAGTAAACAGATGACTTTTGTATGACATCCATTAAATATGGACGTGGAACTAGAACAGTTTACCCCAATAAGCCCTTCAAAGGGTTCAGTTTATAATATTCCATACCTATTGAAGCTTAAATTTTCGGCTTCTTCATGTTATCAAGTTTTGACCAAAAAAAACAATTGAAATAATGACAAATAATTATTGGTCACAAATTTAAACAATAGTCGAATAATGTAAATAATGTACAAAATTTATCATCTCAGAAATATAGACAGACCATCTATATTGTTAAATTTATATTTAATCCGGCTGGATAGTATTTTTTTTAAACGCTGATCCACTTATTTTCATGGGACTCTAAAATATTTCTAATGTTATCTGCTCTGGACTTTTCTATTCTCTCAATTATAGAGAATTTGGCATGGGTTTTAAAACAGAAAGGCTGACCAAAATTCGCGTTAAAAAAATTAAAAAAAACAAATGAAAACTACAGACAAAAGTCATATTCTCCATCAAGACATTCATTTCTGTTGTTCAATGCTACCAGCAAGCAGAAAAATATTTTTCTCCTGATGATGGCCATGTTGGCCGAAACTAGTCGAGGAATCTAAATAAAATAATAATAATAATAATAATAATAACGAAAGAATATTAATCTACAACCCAGTGTTTCTGAAGATTTTATTTTTTTAATTTTTTAATATTTTTATTGTCAAAATACATATATATATATATATATATATATATATATTTATATATATATATATTTTTTAAGGTAACATTTTGGTAATTTATAAATTTGCAACTATTGGATTTTTTTTTTTTTAAGAATTTATGCCACCCATATATATATTTTTTTAAATATAAATGTATGTTTTTAATTTTTATTGAATGATTTAGTTCAATCTCAGAACATTTTAAACGAAAATTTGATTTTTTAATTACATTCACAGTTAATATAGATATTAGTCAAAAAATGGACCAGTGCTTTATCAAGATGATATATAATAATATTTCTGGAAGCCCTTTTTATAATTTGTCAATTTTCAGAATAAATTTTTTCAAATTTTAATTTAAAAACAAAGGGCTTAAATTATTGTTAAAAATTTTTATTTTAAGTAAACGAAATTTTTCTAGAAAATTTATTTATTTATAATGGAATTTATGTGATTCTGAGTTCATTTATTGTTTTCAAAAAATTTATTTAAGCCAATTTTTAAAATATAAATTAAAAAACAAATTAATTGGTTTTACAGCCCAAAAACAACCATTTCCATTTATCTAAAATATATATATTTAACATTAGTGTGCATCTTTTGTCCAGCAAAAAATATATAATTTACAAAAATATTTTGCAAAATCTTATGCAAAGTTAATATTTGGAAAATATAAATTTTGTCAAAAATATATCTTTATAATTCAATATTCAATATTGACTCATTACTTGAAAATTGATACTTTTAAAAATTTAAATTTTTTCATATGCTAAGAAATTCATATTTTATTCTATTTGTTTTGTCTATGCATTTTTTTAGCAAAAATTTTGTTTAAGTTTCAAAATTTTTTCAAAGCGAAGACAAATGTTATTTTTAATCCAGTATTTCTTTTTCTTAAAAATTATATTATCTTAAGTTTTTTTGAAATATATTCTGCATA